AATCGGCCCGTGTGATAATAAAATAAAATAAAAATATATATTATTTATAAAATATATAAAATATTTTATATATTATATTTTTATATTTTTATATTTTATATATTTTAAAAATATATATATTTTATATTTATATATATATATATTTATAATTTAATTTTTATTTATATATATATTATGTAAATATATATTATATGTATATTTATATTATTAATATATATATATTATATTATATATTAGTATGTATTATATTATTATATTTTGTATATATATTTGTATATATATATATATATATGTATGATTATATTTTATATATTTATATATATATATATATATTTAACATTTTTATTTTATATATATTATATATAAATATATATATTTAATATATAATATTATAATATTATATATATTATTTATATATTATTTAAATATTATATATGTATATATATAGTATATATATATTTAATATATAAAATATATGTATGTATATATAAAATTATATATATATATATTATTTTATATATAATGTATATATATATTTTAATATAATATATATTATAAAATTGTATATATTATATATTATATATTTTTATATATATATATATATATATATATATGTATTATATTATATATATATATTTTATATATATATATATATATATATATATATTTTATAATATATATTTTATATATATATATTTTATTATATATATATATATTTTAATATATATATATATATATTATATAAATATAATATATATAATTTTATATTTTATATACATATAAAATATATATATATATATACATATATATTTTATTTATTATATACATATATATATATATATATTACATATATATAATATATATATATACATATATATATATATATATATATACATATATATATATATATTACAATATACATATATATATACATATATATATACATTATATATATATAATTAACATATATATATATACATATACATATATATATACATATACATATCATTTTTTATATATATATATATATATATAATATATATATATATATATATATGCAAAACAACCACTCTGAAAGAATAGAGAAATTCCAAGCGCTTTCGTGACTACTCACATTTCAAGGAACTATGAAAGTGAAGCATCCAAGGAAGCTATATAAGGGGTCGGCCAGCACCTCACTATCAGATCCACAACGGTTAAACACGTGACGCGCGGCGAGCCAACTTGGATAGGTCCTTTGCAAAACTCACCCCAAGCTTTTTATTTGTCCAGTGTATTATTAAATTCTTCCCAAATTCTATTAATTATAAATGGATCTAATCCCTAATAGAATTTGGGAAGAATTTAATAATACACTGGACAAATAAATAGCTTGGGGGTGAGTTTTGCAAAGGACCTATCCAATTTGGGGCTCGCCGCGCGTCACGTGTTTAACCGTTGTGGGATCTGATAGTGAGGTGCTGGCCGACCCCTTATATAGCTTCCTTGGATGCTTCACTTTCATAGTTCCTTGATAATGTGAGTAGTCACGAAAGCGCTTGGAATTTCTCTATTCTTTCAGAGTGGTTGTTTTGCAATTTTATATTTTATATTTTATATAATATATATATATATTATATATATATTATATATATTATATAATATATATATATATATAATTTATATATTTATATATATAATATTTTATAAAATTTATATTTAAAAATTTTATATATATATATTATTTTTTTTTTTTTTTTTTTTTTTAACAAGTCGGCCGCCTCCCCCCCGAGGCAGGGTGACCCAAAAAGAAAGAAAATCCCAAAAAGAAAATACTTTCATCATCATTCAACACTTTCACCACACTCGCACATTATCACTGTTTTGCAGAGGTGCTCAAAATACAACAGTCTAGAAGCATACACATATAAAGATACACAAACATATCCCTCCAAAATGCCAATATCCCAAAAACCCCTCCTTTAAAGTGCAGGCATTGTACTTCCCATTTCCAGGACTCAAGTCCGACTATATGAAAAAAACCCGGGTTTTTCCCTGAATCCCTTCACTAAATATTACCCTGCTCACACTCCAACAGATCGTCAGGTCCCAAGTACCAATTCGTCTCCATTCACTCCTATCTAACCCCGCTCACGCACGCTTGCTGGAAGTCCAAGCCCCTTACCCACAAAACCTCCTTTACCCCTCTCTCCAACCCTTTCGAGGACGACCCCTACCCCCCCTTCCTTCCCCTATAGATTTATATGCTTTCCATGTCATTCTACTTTGATCCATTCTCTCTAAATGACCAAACCACCTCAACAACACCCTCTTCTGCCTCTGACTAATACTTTTATTAACTCCACACCTTTCCCTAATTTCCACACTCCGAATTTTTCTGCATAATATTTACACCACACATTGCCCTTAAACAGGACATCTCCACTGCCCCCAACCCCGTCTCCTCGCTGCGGCATTTACCCCCCAAGCTTCACACCCATAAAAGGGAGTGTTGGTACTACTATACTTTCATACATTCCCTTCTTTGCCTCCATAGATAACATTTTTTGACTCCACATATACCTCAACGCACCACTCACCTTTTTTCCCTCATCAATTCTATGATTAACCTCATCCTTCATAACCCATCCCCCGACACGTCAACTCCCAAGTATCTGAAAACATTCACTTCTTCCATACTCCTCCCCCCCAAATTTGATATCCAATTTTTCTTTATCTAAATCATTTGACACCCTCATCACCTTACTCTTTTCTATGTTCACTTTAAACTTTCTCCCTTTACACACATCCCAAACTCATCCACTAACCTTTGCAATTTTTCTTTGAATCTCCCATAAGCACAGTATCATCAGCAAAAGTAACTGTGTAAATTCCCATTTGAATTTGATTCCCCATAATTTAATCCCCCCCCTCTCCCAAACACCCTAGCATTTACTTCCTTAACAACCCCATCTATAAATATATTAAACAACCATGGTGACATTACACATCCCTGTCTAAGACCTACTTTTACCGGGAAATAGTCTCCCTCTCTTCTACACACCCTAACCTGAGCCTCACTATCTTCATAAAACTCTTTACAGCATTTAATAACTTACCACCTATTCCATATACTTGCAACATCTCCCACATTGCTCCTCTATCCACTCTATCATATGCCTTTTCTAAATCCATAAATGCAATAAAAACTTCCCTACCTTTATCTAAATACTGTTCACATATATGCTTCAATGTAAACACTTGGATCTATCAATCCCCTACCCACTCTGAAACCTCCTTGCTCATCCGCAATCCTACATTCTGTCTTACCTCTAATTCTTTCAATTATAACCCTTACCGTACCACTTTTCCTGGTACTCAGTAAGCTTATTCCTCTATAATTTTTACAATCTCTTTTGTCCCTTTCCCTTTATATAAAGGGACTATACATGCTCTCCCCCAAATCCCTAGGTACCTTCCCCTCTTTCATACATTTATTGAACAAAAGTACCAACCACTCCAACACTATATCCCCCCTGCTTTTAAAAATTTCTGTCTTGATCCCATCAGTACCAGCTGCTTTACCCCCTTTCATTTTACGTTAATGCCTCACGTACCTCCCCCACACTTACATTCTGCTTTTTCTTCACTCCTAAAAGATGGTATACCCCTGACCAGTGCATGAAATTACTGCCTCTGTTTCTTCCTTAACATTTAAAAGTTCCTCAAAATATTTTCCCCCATCTACCTAATACCCCATCTCCCCATCTACTAACTCCCTACTCTGTTTTTAACTGACAAATCCATATTTTCCCCTTTGGGTTTCTTAACTTGTTTAACTCACTCCAAAAATTTTTTCTTATTTTCATTAAATTTCTTGACAGTGCCTCTCCCCTCTATCATCTGCTCTCCTTTTGCACTCTCTCACCACTCTCTTTACCTTTCTTTTACTCTCCATTTTATTCTGCTCTTCTTATAAACACTTCTGCTTTGTAAAAACCTCTCAAAAAGCTACCTTTTTCTCTTTTATCACACCCTTTACTTCATCATTCCCAATCACTCCTCTTTCCTCCTGCACCCACCCTCCTATAACCACAAACTTCTGCCCCCCCATTCTAATACTGCATTTTTAAAAACTATTCCAACCTCTTCAACCCCCCATTACTCATCTTTGCACTTTTCCCACCTTTCTGCCAATATAAAATATATATATATATATATATATATATTTTATATATTTTTATATATATTTATTTATATATATATATTTAATATATATATTTATATATATTATTTATATATATATATTTTATATATATATTTTAATATTATATATTATATTATATATATATATTTATATATATATATTTATATATATATATATTTTTAATTTTAATTTATATATATATATTTAATATATATATTTATATATATTTATATAAAATATATATTTTTATTATATATTTTTTATATATTATATTTTATATATATTATTTATATATATATATTTATATATTTATAATTTTTATATATATATATTTTTTAAAATATATATATTTATATATTTTTTTTTTTTTTTTTTTTTTATATATATATATTTATATTTATATATATATTTATATAATATTTTATATTATATATATATTTATATATATTATATTATATATATATATATTTATATATATTTATTTATATATATATATTTAATATATATTTTATATATATATATATATATTTTATATATATATTTATATATATATTTATATATATATATATATATGTGTGTGTATGTATGTATGTATGTATGTATGTGTGTGTGTTTTGTGTTTATTTTCTTAGTGCCAAATCACACCATTTCAGTTGTTTTATATGCAGTGTATAGCTTAACAAGAATAGGATTTTAACTTCTTTCTGCACGGGAAACAATAATACATGTGCTGTCCTTTTTACTCGTGCCACATTATATTTTAAGTTTTTAAAATACTATTCTTATATACTTAATCCATGTCCATTTCTTATAGGTGCATTTTGATAGTGAACCCAATTGGGAAGATGAAGACAACATTATCAGCAACCTGACTTGTCTCTGTGTCTTGGGAATTGAAGATCCAGTGCGACCTGAGGTGCCTGATGCAATCCATAAGTGCCAGCGGGCGGGCATTACAGTTCGCATGGTTACAGGCGACAATATTAACACTGCACGCTCCATTGCTTCCAAGTGTGGCATTCTCAAACCAGGCGATAACAGCTTAATATTAGAGGGAAAAGAATTTAATAGGAGAATCAGAGATTCATCGGGCAAAGTAAGTTATGCAGATAGTGATGTGTAATGTCAACCTAGGGAGGTCAAATTGAGTTTGAAATATATTTTGCTGAATGGAGTCTGAGTAAATTTGTATTATTAATGAATTTTGGGATGTTGAACAAGAGAGGTGTACACACTCCTAGCAGCCAATATGGCCTCGGGAGAACACGTTACAGTAATAATAATAATAATCATCACACCATAACATGTAATCTTAAAATATTTGCAGTAAAGGAAGAGAGAAGAAGTTAAGAAGTGAAAATGATCTGCAATCCTTCTGTTGTTAACCCTTAAACTGTCCAAACGTAGATCTACATTGACGTGCGTAGTGTTCTGAACGTAGATCTACGTTTTTTACATGCTTTAAAATGGAGAAAATGAAGGTTGGAGCACTATGCATGGGAATGTAGATCTACAGTTGGACAGTTTAAGGGTTAATTATTCTTACTGGGTTGCTTTAGGTTATATCAGGTTTGATAAACTCATGCCTACTCCATGTGATCATTACCTAATGTGTGTGTATATGACTTAATCTGAGTGTGCACCTGACAATAATGATGGTCAACTGCACAATTGGTAGTGTTATTAAACATGAACTTATTTCAAGGACTAAAAACCTTTTCACTGCCATGCTCTTAAGGTCATTTACCCAGTTATGTTAATTATCTGAGGGTAAAATATTCTTTCTACTATATGGTGGACCCCTGACATTCGATATTAATCCATTCCTGAGAGCTCATCGAATGTCGAAAATATCGAAAGTCGAATTAATTTTCCCCATAAGAAATAATGGAAATCAAATTAATCCGTGCAAGACACCCAAAAGTATGAAAAAAAAAAATTTACCACGTGAAATATCAAGTTTAACCCTTTCAGGGTCCGTCCCGTAGATCTACGGCTTTATGGTGAGTGTCCAAACCGTAGATCTACGCCATGAGCTCAGCTCACTCTGATAAACTGTGAGTGGTACATTTGGGCCTAGATATGAGAGAATACATCTATGTGGTATGTGTGCACCACATAAAACAGATCCTGCAGCACACTGTGTATAATGAGAGAAAAAAACTGAAATCATGATTTTTCGATTAAAACAGCAACTTTGCAGTGTTTTTTCGTATGTTTTTTATAGTTGTATTTGCGATTTCTTGGTCTCATTTGATAGAATGGAAGACATATTACAGAAATAGAGATGATTTTGATTGGTTTTAGCACTGGAAATGGCTTGAAACTGAGCTCAAAGTAGCGGAAATGTTAAATTTTTGCCGATATTCAAGAGTAAACAAACGACCTCACACATCTAATACACGTCAGCTGGTGGGTCTAATATACATTCACAAATATGGTAATGATATTTATACAATTATTACAGTATTGCATAACAGTAAATCTTCTATTTTTTGGTGTGAATAAAAATTCATTATGTGAATAAAAAATCAAAATGGAATTTATTTGTAAAGCCTCAAAACATAACTAATGAACAGAGGAAATGTTAGTTTAGTGCCAGGAATGCCTACATTGTTTATTCTGGACCCTATTTTGAAATTGGAATATTTTGAACTTTGTGTTAAATTGGCCAAATTAACAATTTCCGATCACTTTATTTTTGTAGTTGAAACAGTTGACTTGGCGATTTCTTGTGCTCAATCGATAGAATAGAAGTAATACTAGTGAAATAGCTAAGAATTTGGTTGATTGGAATAATGTAATTGGCCTAAAATAGGAGTCAAAGTCGGCAAAATCGCCGATTCGTAAATATCGCTGACACATCAAAATTCGCGAGAGCATAATTTCGTCAATTTTCCACCAAATTTCGTACTTTTTGTTTTATTACCTTCACAAAAAGATTCTCTACGATTTCATAAGAAAAAATAACAAATTTTTTTTTTTAAAATTCTTGGACACTGGTGCGTGACTCCAGATTTGGGCCTTGGACCCTGAAAGGGTTAATGCAATAGAATAATTACAATAACAATAGATTAATAACAATAGAATAATTGACACTTACCTTTAATGAAGATCTGGTGATGATTGATGGGATGGGAGGAGGGGAGAGTGTGGATGGTGTTAGTGTTTAGAAGGGGAATCCCCTTAACAATAACAGTCTCTCAACATCTTCTAACACTAGCAATCTCTGTTTTGAAAACAAAGTTGCACCTTTTGCAAAAACAGCTTCCTTGATTGCCTTTTTCGTGCTCACTATAGTAGAGATGGTTGATTGGGGTTTACTATACAACCTGGCCAGCTCCGACACACGCACTCCACTTTTGTACTTTGCAATTATCTCTTTCTTCATTTCAATAGTCATTAGCACCTTTTTTCTCGAAGGGTTGGCACTAGAAGCTTTCTTGGGGCCCATAGTTACTTATTTTGCAGAAACAAGCACCAAAAACAGTGATAATATGGAATGTACCGAATGTATCCTTAAATGCGCACACACTGGCTGACTTGTAAACACTGGCACACACGGGGCAGTTCAGGCCACGCATGGACATGTCTCGTACGAATCGTATCGAATAGCGGGTTTTCGATCAAATGTCGAGGCAAAATTTTTGCGTTAAAATGCATTGAATATCGGATTTATCGAATGTTGATGCCATCGAATGTCGGGGGTCCACTGTATCTACTTTCTGAGTTATTTTAAGATCTAGCACTGATATCCAGCAGAGACAGTACGTATTTATATTAAATATTTTTCTGGTATATGATATAATAAGAGGCTCGTTAATGCCAACATGAGGCTCAAATTAATCAAAAAGAATATTTATTTACCATGTTTAACCCTTTAACTGTCCAAACGTAGATCTACGTTCACTCACTTAGCTCTCCAAACATGGGTCTACGTTCGATTTTACATGCTTTCTCATGTAAAAAAAAAAAACATAGATCTATGTTCGGAGCTCTACACGAGTTAACGTAGATCTACGTTTGGACAGTTTAAGGGTTAATATATATCAGATTACAATCATTTTCTACATTTTATAATATACTTACCAAGTCCTTTTCCAGGGTTACTTCCCTTCTTTGTTTTTTAATGCCAATGGGAACAGCTTGAGAGTCGCTGGACCTCTGTCGCACCAAAAATCTGTCCATTGAGTTTTTCCAGAACAGGCCTGTTTCGTCACAATTGAACACTTGTTGGGGTTAGAATTTTTCAGCTTCGCCATATCTTATCACACTGTGTATGCCACTATGATTCTTAAATCTCTCAAACCAACCTTTGCTGCCCTTAAATTCACCAATATGAGCACTAATTCCAAACATTTTTTCCTGCTCACCTGGGTGTTAGTCGACTGGCGTGGATCGCATCCTGGGGAACAAGATTAAGGACCCCCAATGGAAATAAGTTAGACAGTCCTTGATGACGCATTGACTTTCTTGGGTAATCCTGGGTGGCTAACCCTCTGGGGTTAATTGTTTCTTGTTAAGCCACACCAACAGCACACTTTCCACATCTTAGAGTAGTACAGCTGACGGTGGTGCAGCAGCAGCTGACTGTGGTACAGCAGCAGCAGCTGACCGTGGTACAGCAGCAGCAGCTGAGCGTACAGCAGCAGCAGCTGAGCGTACAGCAACAGCAGCAGCTGAGCATACAGCAGCAGCAGCAGCTGAGCGTATAGCAGCAGCAGCAGCAGCTGACCGTGGTACAGCAGCAGCTGACCGTGGTGCATAGTATTTCGATAGTATTTCTCACCCTTTTTACCACAGGGTTGGCACTAGAAGCTTTCTTTGTGCCCATGGTGGCTTATATAGCAGTTACAAGCACTAAAAACAATGGAATAATATGTATGCATGGAACCGTTCGCCCTGGCTTGTAAACAGTGGCAGACTAACTGACGGCAGGGCAGCTGAGGCGCTCAGGCTGGACGGACAGGTTCGGGATGAATGTCATTGGTAGAGTTTTTCTTTGTTGGTCAGGGCAAAATTTTTAAGCTCAAACGCTTCGTTAGGCGAATTTTTCGTTAGTTGATGCCTTTGTTGGTCGGGGGTCCACTGTATTTTGTTTTGCTGAAGCATACATCAGAAATTTGTGTACTTGTTATAATATACTTTGTCGTGTCTTCTGACATTGTGCTAGGGAAAAAAAAATGTGTCCTTGAGGGCATTATTAGACTGTATTCAACATCCATAAAAAATGGATGACTTATTACTTTAAATTTCATTTGCAGTTTTCTAAAGCATTGACAAAATGATGTGTTTTCAGTAAAAAATATTTTTTTCAGTGGATTTGGACTAAAATTGAATTCAAAACAAAACATTGTGCCATTAAAGCCAAACATACAGTGTTCAGTGTTATGTTACTTATCATAAGATAACTTTATTGTTGTCTTGACTTAGGGGATTACAGTAGTTAAACAAGATACAGTAACTACAGCAACTTAATAATAGGACATTACATATTGTGGTTCAGCTAGGCTACAAGGTTATAAAATAAACTACAGATGAATGGCAACTCAAAGTGATAAATAAAGTGCAAATAAGCTAAACAATAAACAGTGATAACACTAATAATTACAGATAAGGTAACACAGATTAATAACTGGATATGTTGATATTACATGGCTAAAAACCTACATACAACACTCCTAATCTTATCATACACCTAGGACGACTGCCCTGGTGAACTACACTACTTTAACTGACCCTTGGGGAAAACTAAACAGAAGTACCTAGGTGCAACTCACAACCAACTAGGCTAACACCACTAAAAAACTGAACGACTTCACAACATTCCAGAACTCTCCCAGCCATTGAAACAGTGACCATCTCATATATGCAGTATATATATAGCCTCTCCTCACTTAACAATGGAGTTCCGTTCCTAAGACCATGTCGGTAAACAAATTCGTCACCAAGTGAGGGGCATACTATAATGGTAGTGGGTTTGTGTCAACCATCTTTGATATTGTTTTCATGTCACCTTTGCACCATTTATAACATTTCTGGTATATTTTAAAATGTTTATACAGTAGTGTACTGTATATTTTAATAAACAGAAGAGAGGAAATCAGCTTTAATATACATTATTTAAGTATGCATACTGGTCAGAGAGCTTATCGTAAGTCTGAGTCATCAGTAAACGAGTACATCGCTAAGTGAGAGGCTGTATATAAAAAGAAAAGACTTCTTCCTCCATAAGCCATGCATGTCATAAAAGGCAACTAAAATGTCAGGGGTAAGGGGCTGGTACCCTCTTTCCCACCCTGCTTCGGTGGGAGATGGCCTGTATGTTGAAAAAATATATATAAAAATCTCTACCCATTGCCAAATAGTGCCTTATATGAGTCAAAACATTGTGTTTAAACGTCAGTAGACCAACTGTTGATTATCCCATAAGTTTCAGTAATATCACATTAATATTTAACAACAACAGTAATAATTATTTATTTTATAGGTAGTAGGTTGGTAGATAGCAACCGCCCAGGGAGGTACTACCGTCCTGCCAAGCGAGTGTAAAACGAAAGCCTGTAATTGTTTTACATGATGGTAGGATTGCTGGTGTCTTTTTTTCTGTCTCATGAACATGCAAGATTTCAGGTACATTTTGCTACTTCTACTTACACTTAGGTCACACTACACATACATGTACAAGCATATATATACACACCCCTCTGGGTTTTCTGCTATTTTCTTTCTAGTTTTTGTTCTTGTTTATTTCCTCTTATCTCCATGGGGAAGTGGAACAGAATTCTTCCTCCGTAAGCCATGCGTGTTGTAAGAGGCGACTAAAATGCCAGGAGAAAGGGGCTAGTAACCCCTTCTCCTGTATAAATTACTAAATTTGAAAAGAGAGACCTTTGTTTTCCTTTTTGGGCCACCCTGCCTTGGTGGGATACGGCCGGTTTGTTGAAAAAAAGAAAGAAAGTAATAATTATGGTTTTTCTTTCATGTGATGTTAACATACAATTGGCAAGAAAATGATAGACTTACTGGTATGTATTTCTGTTGGTTGAGGTGAGAGATCTGATGCTTATCTCCCCATTTTCAGATCCAGCAACATTTAATAGACAAAGTGTGGGTGAACCTACGTGTGCTGGCTCGCTCATCTCCTACAGATAAATACACATTAGTGAGAGGTATTATAGAAAGTAAAATAAATGCCAACAGAGAAGTGGTAGCTGTAACAGGTGACGGCACCAACGATGGACCTGCCCTCAAGATGGCTGATGTCGGCTTTGCTATGGTAAGAGATCAATCAGTAATAATACGTATAATGAAAAGCTATACGTTGTCTTTAACAGGAGTTTCTCATGCAAAATGAATAACTAGAAATTTTTCTGGCACTGAAAATTTTGATTCTCTGGGCATTTCTCAAAAATTGTGCAGGATAAATGGGTTTATAAAATTTTGGCCTTAAATGTATTGTTATACTTTCTAATCTTGCTGAGCTTAAATCAGGGCTGGAATTACTAGAACTAGAATTTTTTTTATACTTCTGAAGACTGAAAGTTCATGAAGTCTCCATGCAAAGGAAAATCTCTTATATTGTGATGTCATGTGCAGATTTGTGTAAACACATATGAAAAAGGGCAGTTAAACTTTCATAAATATGCTGAAAACTCTTGGAATTTTTTTTTCCTCTGACCCAAGTTGGGTGTAAGGGTCAGATGTTTGAAGAGGCACAGCTTCCTTCCACTGCCACCCATGCTATTTACAGCTACTTTCTGGTAGCATTAAGTAACCTTATTTTTTCCAACACCACTCATCATCAAATTTGGTTTGGCTATAGAGATTCAAAAGTGGTATTTTTCTTTGGTTCTTTGTAAACAAATAGAGCTGAGTCAGCATCATATGGCTGACCATGGCCAAGGAAGAAGCCAGAAAAACAACAGCAGCCAACTTCTCTTCTCTCCTCACATTGTGTTTTATTAATCAAGCCAGCATTAAAAATAATTGCTGGAGAGGAGCATTTGGAAATTTCAAGGTTCAATTGATGCTACATTTTGTTGGGGGAAGGAATAAAGTCAGCTGTTAATAAAGACAGAATTAATTTGAAAAAAAAAAAAATAGATGTAGGACTGGGGAATTTGTAAAGTACAGTGATAGTTTTGCAATGCTCATAATGGATCTCTAATTTGTTTTAAAGATATTTTTATGTAGTTGATATGTTTATAATGTGTGGGTGTAACTTCCACAGGGCATTGCTGGTACCGATGTTGCTAAAGAGGCATCAGATATCATCTTGACAGATGACAACTTTACCTCAATTGTTAAGGCTGTCATGTGGGGACGCAATGTATATGATTCCATTGCAAAGTTTCTACAGTTTCAGCTAACTGTAAATGTTGTTGCTGTCATTGTAGCATTTGTTGGTGCATGTGCCATCAATGATAGCCCTCTCAAGGTAATCACACTTGGATGTCTTACATAATGCTTTTGATGCTTATAGTTGTTTTTGTTTTGTTTCTCTTGAGTTTTGCATTTGTAATTGCATATATTATATAACACCTCCATGTTGGGTACGAATCATTTTCGTATTTTTTTTTTCGTTATTGTGAAGCAACATCCATTGGGAGTGGTGTAATACTGCAATATTTCTTTACATTTTGGTAAAACCCCCCAGGCTGTACAAATGTTGTGGGTGAATCTTATCATGGACACACTGGCTTCCCTGGCGTTGGCAACGGAAGCTCCTACGCCAGATCTCCTTCAGCGAAAACCTTATGGCCGCACCAAGCCTCTCATCTCGCGCACCATGATGAAGAATATCCTGGGTCAAGCAGTGTACATGATTATGGTTATATTCGTTTTGTTATTTTATGGTAAGTTCCATAAGTATGCCATTAATAATTATTTAAAGATTAAAAAATAATAGTTAATTTTTAATTCAAAGATCTGAACAGCACCTATTTTCATCCTCATTAACAATGGTTGCATCCTAGAAAAATTACACAGGAGTATATTAGAACTTTAAACTTCTTTCTGAGAAGTATAAAGTCACAGCACATTACTCACATAATCACGACTTTTCTTTTATGGCTAAACATGTTAAAACAAAAGTATTGGTATATCAGCTATTAAATGATTTAATATGAATAAACTGAACAGGGAGGTAGTTTTATTATGTTTCATTGGTTACCAAAACGTAATGGTAAAATTGAATGTAGAGATGATTAATGCTTTTTGTGTAACATATTAAAAAAAATTACAATTTAAATGTAATAATTGCTGTAGAGAGGTTTGCAATATTGATGTCCGTTTGACTCTTGTGCAAATGTTGTGATTGATCTCCTTATAGGTGGCTATTAATTTTGAAGAATTGGTATACTATAGGTGTACTTAAAAATACAGAATTTGTATATACAGTAGCCAAGATTAGTGGGAGTGTAGGCAACTAAAATATGAGAATTTAGGTGTCAAGAAATAGCATAATTAAAAGAATACAAATGTGTGTGTGCACTTAATAGGAGATTGAAGTGTCAGTTTAGTTTTAGATTGAAGTGATGACTAAGAAGTTTTTATGCCTTAAGTGCTGTTGGAGTGTGAACGAAGTCGTGTAGGTGGGAAATACAGTGCCAGTGCTCTGTGGGAGGGGGTGGGAAGTACAGTGCTAGTGCTTTGCAGGAAGGGTGGGAATGTTGCAGTCAGAGGGTCAGCTCAATTGAGATGTTGCATATTTCTGGCAAGACAGTGATTGAATGAGTAATGATGAATGTGTTTAATTTTTTGGGGCCCACCCTTCTTTGATAGGAGATGGTCATTGAGTTAAAAGAAAAATGTGAACATGACATTTTTTTTTTTGAGCTTTATCATATACATGTAATTACAATTTTTGTTTTTTTACATAATTTTATTTTTCTAAATAATAGAATAATTATTAATATTTTACTCTGACAATCGCTAGTAAGGGTGATTTAGTAAACTTTTCATCACTGCACCTCAGTAAAATCACATGTATGCTGTGAAACTACTTCAAATTAAATATACGCACTTTTGTAGACCTAAAGTATATATATAAACTTCACTGTCATTGATTCCCTAACTAACTTTGCAAAGAGCAGGGACTTCATAATTTCAATTACTCGCAGAAATGCAAAGTTGCCGCCCATCCTTCAGAGAGCAGGAACTGTATTTCCTATGTTAAAACTCAAGTCTGTCTTATCAGTTTGTTTTGAAATCTTATTTTAGATGCTACCTAAATCTGCCCTCTAGCTTGTTGAATCCCAAAAACTACTTACGTCTATTCACTTTGTTCTAATATACTAACTTGTGCTCTTACCTCTTAAAACCTCCTTCATACATTACTTCTAATTGTCTGGGACATCCCCCTATGCCTTCTATCTACCCCTCAGATTTATATACGCTCTTGGTTAACCTGTCTTGATCCAGTCTTTGTAAATGTTCACACTATTTCCATAACCCTTCTGTGCATAATGTTAGTGCCAAATTGCAAAAGTGTTGTCACCCATTTCCTCTGATACATTTCTCTTTTAGCATCTAGTGATAAACGTTTTACAGACTCAACACCTTAGCAACTCAAAAGAAGAAACAATCATTATCATTCATTCTATCACTGTCTTGCCAGAGGCATGCCAATACTACACTTAGGATGCCCCTGCAAACTGCAAATATCCCTACCCTTCCTTTTGAGTGCAGGCACTGTACTTCCCCTTCACAAAATGTTTCCTTGCTCATACTCTAACAGCTCGTCAATTCCCAAAAACCATTTGTCTCCACTCCTAACTAACACGCTCACACACGCCGGCTGCATATGCCAGCCCCTCACACACAAGACAAACACTTCTTGCTACAAAATTCTTAAATCTGATGGTTTGTTTAGGTTAAGTTTTTTTTTTTTTTTAATTATGTCGATGCACAGTGGAACTTGTGATATATATGATATGATGTGAAGGTGCACTCAACTTGTGAATTACATACTCCATTAAGGAAGCTTTTTATAATGTTGGTCTCTTGGTATACTTAAATGACTTATCTTTTGTGTATTGCTGATTGGTTGACACTAAATAGTATTCTCTTGACTAAATGGCTGGCATGTATGGATAGTTCACTAGGTGGGGGACACATTGTGGTGTTTATTTAACCTTAGAATGTTTGTTGTTTGTAGTAAGGATAGAATCCATGAAGCCTTAATGTGGGCCCACAGTAACTTAGAAATGATTTATGTGCCTTGACTGAAAACCTTACAGCAGCATGAGCACATGCTTCCCATTGTTGTGTATTGCATTATTTTCCTGCATTTAAATCTATTCCAGAATTGTGTATCAGAAGGTTAAAGAAGCCACAAACTTGGGTTGAACTAATGCTTCTATTTATTTTGTCATATATGTTTTTTATGTAATTAGTAAGTGTCTAGTTTAGATTTAAAATTTTTGTAGTTATTTTTAGTAGCCTTGATTTTGTTGGAACTTGGCATTTTTTTTTATAGATAAAATGTTATTGTGGATATAATTAATGTATTTGATTTAAAAATTTTTTTTAGGATTTTTTTATTCATAATGTTATACATATTTTTTCAACAGGAGATAAATTGTTAGATATTGACTCTGGACGTTACGCTGACATCCGTGACCCACCTTCCCAGCACTTCACCATCATCTTCAATACTTTTGTTATGATGACACTCTTCAACGAAATCAATGCACGAAAAATCCATGGACAGCGCAACGTTTTTCAGGGCTTCTTTAGTAATCCCATTTTCTACAGCATTTGGCTGAGTACACTAGCAAGTCAGGTAAGTACATTAGCTAATTTGAGATCCTATCTGTTAGCAGGGTATTTATTAAGCCAGGCTTTTTGAGTGACTGTGATCAACCAGGCTGTTACAACTAGATTCCCTATCATGACGAGCAATCTTTATTCGGAAAGAATGCTGTACTTTATATTGTTGTGTATATGTTTTAATTCTGATGGTAACATGTATTGGTATTGGTTCGTGATTTTGTTGAATAAAAGTTGTATTAATGTGGCAGGAATAATTCACAATTAACACAAATTGGAGATAATATTTTTAGATTATATTGTGGTTCATCCTGGACAGCTATCAAGTAGCAATTTGATGCCAGTATACAATAGACAAAAACATCATCATTGGGTTGATTTCCAATTTCTGGGCTAATTGTGAGTTTGGTTGAATATAAGCATTATATATATTGTATAATAGTGCAAGTTTCATGTATTTGTTCTTGAACAGGTTGTGATAGTACAGTTTGGAGGTCGGGCGTTTTCCACTGAAGCCCTCGGCCTGGAGCTCTGGTTATGGTGTATCCTTTTTGGGAGTGGAGTGCTCCTTTGGGGGCAAGTGGTTACCTCCATCCCAACCAAAAAATTACCTAAGAATGTATTCTCGTAAGTAGTTCTACGTGCACCATCATGAAGGTCTGATTTTGGTTGTGTAATTAGGAAGCTCTTATAGACTGCCGGAAAGTAGCTTGTTGAACATTATTGGAAAGTATTGTGATAGCGGGGAAAAGATAAGTAAGCCCTACAGTTAGGAACATCTTAAAGAATGCTAGACAGTAGCTTATGAGCCTTTAGTGGGAGAAATGTAAATATTAATATCAAAATGTTAAACTCTTGTGGGACAATTAGTGCAAGGAGCAGTGGGGGTTCGATCTTCTGTCTGTTAATTGAGATAAATGTGCTGCTCCTACAGCCAAGCTTTAACAGCTGGTTGGAATAGTTAGAAAGGTATGAAAGTCATATGGTTAGAGAGTAATGAAATTTGTAATAGTAGTAGTAGTCCATATTAATTTGATTTACTAAGGTAAAGTTTTGATGTACACTGTAGATTATACTAATTGTAAAGACTGTAAATGTGTAGAAAATTAAATAGTGAGGTAGCATTAGTAATATTTAAGTATATATGCTTTTGATGGAATTTGGCAAAGCTAATGTGTGCAATAACATAATGAGGGACATGACTATATCAGAGTGATTTTTTCCCATTCGGGCTTTCTTAACAGAAAAATACTCTCCCTATTTTGGTATTGTTTACATGTATGTTTTCTGTATCATTAATTTTAATAGTGGAAAAGATAGTTATGAAGAACAGTTATATCATAAATTATTTCAATGGAGCAGTTCACAAATAACTTAAAATTAAAGAGGAAGCTTTCATCAAGATTCTCTTCTTCCTGGACCATTATCAAGTCCCTATTGAACTTGATAATAACTTGACAGTGGTCCAGGATAGACCAAAACTTCATCTAAATTTCTGCTCAAGTATGGGTTATTTGTGGAATAAGAGTAGTATATTAGAGTTAATGGGAGAAAATGTAGTCTCATAACAGAGATCTGTATAGGAAGATGTTTGTAGGAAGTTATTTAATATAGAAACTGCATGACTATTAAATATAAGTAATGTTTATTATGCATAAATTTAGCAATTAAAAAGTAATATCTAATTTTTTTTATTATAATCAAATTTCTTTTACTTGTAGGTGGGGTTCAGGGGAGCCTCAAACAGATCCCATTGCTGACTTTGCCATTGAGGACAAATTAGATTCTGATGGAAAGGATGGCAAGCGTACGGGTCAAATTTTGTGGATCCGTGGCTTGACCCGACTTCAGACTCAGGTATGTTCCTATTTCCTAGCAAGGTTGGTTTGATTTAGCTATAGTGTCCCTCTGAAAAGTTTTTTTGAAATCAGCTGTAACCTGAGGTGGTTGTATGTGTATGTCACTGTATAACAAGTTTGAGGTTATATAGATACACTGTACTGCTTGATGTTCTTGCCCATTTAAAATCTTTCATCTTGAGAATTTTTGTAATATGTATTTTCTTTGTGATGTAGTGCATATTAAGTACAAATTTTACATGGTTGGAATCAGGCATTGAGATCACTTTAAAAAAAATTCTGATATGCTTGGCTCTTGTAATGATCTTGTTAACATAACATGCAGCATAGTTTTTAGATGGTTGAAAATAAACTGGCAGCACACATTTTGGACTTGTGTGCATTAGCAGTTTTGCATAATTAATATTTTTCTTGTACTGTACTTGATAAAAAATAAATACTCATTTTTAAGTTTTGGTGAGAAATAATGAAAAATTTAACACACTGGCCATGTCCAACGTTAGCAGGGTGACTCAGAGAAGGGAAACACAGTTACCATCACTCTTTTGCTAACTGTATTTCTAGATTAGTATATGCATCACAGTTCAAATGATTCATCAAACTACAACATTTCCATCCATTTTCTGGAGTGCAGGCACTGCACTTTCCGTCTCCTAACCACCCGATGCTCCTCATCACTTTGGCTAAGAACATCAAATGTTTCACTGTGATACTGTAATGAAAATGTGATTATTTGGCTGTCTGTTTTAATATGCACTTACTGAGTACTTATAGAGGATAGTTTAATCTAAGTAATATATATTGAGAATTTTTTTTAAAATCTTAGACAAGGATAGTCTCTTTAACAAAGGATGACTTGAACAGTGACACTACGGAAGCAGATACCATATAAGCGTTCCGAGCTGAATTTGACAGGTCAGTTTTATTCCAGTCAGTTGAGTTCATTTCCTTCACAAACTAGGCATTTATAAAAATGCTTCATTTTCAGATTAGTAAATGAAGGAGGGATAGGACTCATCGTGGGAAGGGCTGGAGGGAGAAGGTGGAGGAGATTTTGATTACTAGGAGCTTGGTCATCCAAAAAGCTTATGTGAGCATGTTTGATATGAGTGGAGGCAAGTGGTTCATTATGATTTGATGTCCTGTTGGAGTCTGAGCAGAGTAGCATTTATGAGAGAATTTAGGAAAATTCGCTAGACAGACTTGAGTTCTGGAGGCAGGTACTATAGTGCCTGCACTCTGAAAGAGGGATGGGGATGTTACAATTTGGAGGATCATCTAAGTAATGACGTTTACATGCTTCTGGGATGATAGTGATTGAATGACAGTGAAAGTGTTTCTTTTTTCTTGGGTCACCAACCTTGGCAGGAGATGGCCAGTATATTCCAAAATAAATAAAGATGGCAGTGATTAGAAATTTTGATCAGGGGCTGACTGCTGTAGGAAACATTTACTGTAATTATAATTACTGCTCAATAAAATAATGTAAGTAATGATTAGAGTGGATGCTTGTTTAAATCTGAATAGTGGAATGTGAATTTATGCCTTTTTAGATACTAGAGGCATGTTGATTAGTAAGACATGGCATAAAACAAGATCTTGGCATGTTGACTTTTCAACTGGTTTCATGCATTAAAGACATTTAAGGGAACACCAACTAAAGAATTCCTATACCAATTTACTTATTTCACAGAGTTTTCAACACTTGGTTGCACTGAGGAGGAAAGATTATACAGTGTATTGTGAAATAGAATTTATGCTGCAAGTATAAATAAAAAAAAAGTGGATGGAAATAAGAACAGGCATAAGAACATTAGTAGAAAACAAAGAAAAAGGCTGTTTAGTGGAGGTGTCATTATTAGGTAGAAAAAATGATGACCTGGTGGTTATACTGTGCAGGTAGTGAGGGACAACTGCATCCCTCTTGCTTGACTAGTCTTAATGTAGTAAACAAATTAATATGAAAATATTAGACTAAGAATCTCTAAATTTTAACTTAATCAACTGAGAAATAAGTACTGAAACTCGTTTGTATTCATTTTGAAATAGATGCAAAACAAAAACAAATGCTCATTGTGACAAGACTTTATAGGACATCTTAGTAGGAATAGTATGACTCAAGAAATCGTAATGACACGATTGCAAACAAACCATACCCCCGGCCGGGATTGAACCCGCGGTCATAGTATCAAAACTCCAGCCCGTCGCATTAGCCACTAGGCCAGCTAGCCACAATAAGATTCATCCAACTAGGTATATTTCTACACCATAGGAAGGTTAGCACAGGCACCACTGTGACCACAAATGCAAGTTTTTACAGACGAATCTCCAGCTAGCGTGGCCGTGATGAACTCTAGCTCAAGTCCCTTCACTGCCGTCAACATGACTTGCATTTGTGGTCACAGTGGTGCCTGTGCTAACCTTCCTATGGTGTAGAAATATACCTAGTTGGATGAATCTTATTGTGGCTAGCTGGTCTAGTGGCTAACGCGACGGGCTGGAGTTTTGAGACTCTATGACCGCGGGTTCAATCCCGGCCGGGGGTATGGTTAGGAATAGTATCTTTTTCCCCAAGAATAGAGTAGGTGAATGGCATCTGAAGTTGTATAAATTTAAATTAGATGCGTTACTCTCTATACCAGCCGAGAATGGTATCCCATAAGCCCATAGCTCAAAATCAGTGTGTGCAAAAGGAATAGTACAGTGTGTAACATAAGTTTCTGATGCACTTAAATATTATCTTTGATGATCTGAAGTCAATCAGAATAGGCATTTGCATGGAAACTAATATCCCAATTTCTTCAATGAAAATGTTGCATTGACACCTACACAGCCCAAAACCAATCAAAATCTTTCAATAAAATACACGAGCTTTGAAAGTTTAAAGCCAGTCAAAAGAGGTATTCGTTAGTTATTACACAAAAGTGAATATCCCAGCAGCTTGCATGTTGCAGTCTCAGGTTATCAGCATTGAAGACTTAAGCTGATTGAATAAGGTATTCACAGATTATTACATCTTAGTAGTGTTTTAGTTTTCCTAAATTAATGCAAGTTACAGTGGGCCTCCGAGTTTTGTGATTAATCCGTTACAGAGAGTCTGCCGAAAATTGAAATTCACGAATGTCGAAACCATTTTCCCCATCAGAAATATTGTAAATCCAATTAATCCATTCCAGACACCCAAAAGTATTAACAAAAATTATTTTTTTTATAGATTAAATATAGATTTAACATACAGAAAAGAATGAGAAATCAAGTATAAAACAATAATAACATCACACTTACCTTTATTGAAGACTCTTGTTGGTGTATGGAAAATGGGTGGAGAGGAGAGGATGGAGAAGTCACTGGACCCCTGTTCGCACAAAAACCTGTCCAGAGAGCTCTTGCAGCTCTACCCTCTACCACCACCACAGCCACTCCCACCCACCTACCTACCACCACAGCCACTCCCACCCACCTACCACCACCACAGCCACTCCCACCCACCTACCACCACCACAGCCACTCCACCCACCTACCACCACCACAGCCACTCCCACCCACCTACCACCACCACAGCCACTCCCACCCACCTACCACCACCACAGCCACTCCCACCCCTACCACCACCACAGCCACTCCCACCCACCAACCACCACACAGCCACTCCCACCCCACCACCAACCACCACAGCCACTCCACCCACAGCCACCCCACTTTTGCAGTTCCTTCAAACACCACTGCCACACCCCCTGAACTGTGGGCACCCCCTCGTACACACCCGCCACTCCTGCCTGCACAGCACCTGCTCCATCAATACACAATCGCGACGCAAATCACAACGCACGTCCTTATTGGCCAAAACAAGTTCCCCAATTCGTTCACGAGTCAGCTCCCAAAACTCAGGCCCTACATGCTAAATTTTACTCAACAAGGCCAAACTACTCCATACTCAAAAATCAACCCACTCCATTTTAAGCCAGCCAACGTTCACTACAGAAAGCATTTCCACCATTCTTCACACCACAGCTTTCACCACCTCGTCACACACCCCTAGCAGCGACCAAAAGACACCACAGCATTCCTCCTCTTAAATTACCATCACACAGCATTGCCCCTTTTACCCGACTTTTAGCTCCCCACTCACACACAGCCGTTACACACACTTCACACCACAGCATTCCACCGACACACACCATTTTGTAATAAACTGTCAAAAACACGCCCACTAACCCTGAAACGGGTGGAGACTCCTTGGTAGAAACTACCAATCTGGTTCAGAAGTCCGACAATGAACGAATTTGCTATAGTAATGGAAAATTCGATTTATTTTGAGAAAAAAAAATGAGAAAATGTTCGAATCCTTGAGCGAGTGCAAACATCATGAAAGGTTCACAGTAATTGTAAATGATTTTCAATTAAATTGGCACAATAGTCTTGCTATGCAACAATTTCTTTTCTTTGAAATGGCAGCCTTAAGTTACAAGTCAGTTGGAAAGCGATTGTTAGTTTTTGCATATTTTTTACCCTAACTCTTCACCTAATGGCAGGGTGACCTCAATCACCGTAATTTTACTATTAAATTGTAGTGATTTATGCAGAGAAGTTGTTATTGCCCCTTGTTCCTGGCATTTTAGTTGCCTCTCATGACAAGCATGGCTTACAGAGGAAGAATGTTTTCTACTCTCATAGAGCTATTCTACGGAAATAAATTTATTTAATAAAACTGGCAAGTTAAGCCTTCACAACCCGAAACGGCATGAAACTTCCTTGAGAGAAACATACCAATGCTAAAAGTTTGAAGTCGACCAGAAGAGGCATCTTCTTATTATAGTATGGAAAATTATTTATTTAATAAAATTTGAAAAAAAAAAAAAAAAAATCAGTTGAATCTTCCTTTGAGCAGAGTGCATCATCACTGAAAGTTTGAAGTCAACCAGAAGATGCATAGTTAATAAACTTGGAATCAACAATTCCAGTGTTGAGGCACTTTGCTTGTGTCTTATTGAAAGAGAC